ATAACTGGACTCGGAGGGTGGACTAGGTGGACTGAAGGCCTGACACGGCGGACCAATCTCACAGTAGACCCGATATGCATGGTTGTTTTGTGATTCGATATGATATGGCATGTTATGTGTATGGTATATGTGGTTGGTATTTTAGGGTATCTCACTAAGCTTTCGGGCTTATAGTTGTGGTTTAATGTTTTTCAGGTTCTTCAGGAGACTGTGGCAAGACAAAGGCGTAATCGTACCGATCCTCGTGTTTATATTTTACGATATGGACCTGGGAATACTCTGATAATAAATGTATTGAAAACCTTTTTGTAATAACTTAATGAATTGGGATGTTTTTGAAAAGTTTAAATTTTGTTGAAATTTTTGATCGTTACAAAATTGTGGTTTAATCGTTAATATACTGATCATATATTATATAGGGTGATGTCGAAGATATTTAATTAAATATTTTAAATATGTTTTTTTTTTTTTGTAATTGTACCGTTTCAAAAAGATAATTAATTAAAACTCATACATATGTTATACTTTCTGTCTCTCTCTCTCTCTCTCTCTCTCTCTCTCTATATATATATATATATATATATATATATATATATATATATAATAGTGGTTAAAACACTTCAACCAAAAATCATTTAAAATCTAATATTTCAAATGCTTTATAATAATTATTGTAAAAATTGCAACATGTGTTACTTAATAGATTGATTAATAAAAATATTAATGTTTTGAAACTACTAACTCTTAAACTTATATTATTTGTTAGTTAATTAAAATATTTTTCCTACATAAAGATAAAATTTTTATATTGGTTACTCATATTTGTTTATGTAATTAGAAAACAATGTGTATATAAAATGACTACTTCAATTTCACATAGGAATCGATACCACTAGAAAGGTATGTTGTCTTTAACCGGTAGCAGAAGATCAACATACTCTTTTTAAATTACTTATATTAATGCTTAGTAATATCTATTTTGTATTCCTATTCACCTTAATTTTTTAGGTACAAATTAAGGAAGATGATTCTCGACGCACCAACATAAAGTTAAACGTACGCCTTGCAAATATATAATTAAAATTAAATATCATATTTACCAATCGACTTATTTTAAAACTCTTGATGACATTTATGTCTAATGATATATTTTGTATGACTTCATTCTTAATTTCAGTGTTTAATATTTGAAAGTTCATATACGAAATCTTGTATGTTTTGGTGTAATATAAATAATGTAATACAAAGTTTATTAATTCCATATTGTTTATTAATAGCTCATTCAAAACAACTTATTTCTTATTTTATTTAAAAAAAATATTACCGAACATAAGAAAAGTAGATTATATTAATTTTTTATAAAAACTTATAACATATATTGGATATTATAAAAGTAAAAGTAAAGTTTATAAGGTATGAAGTATATTAGATAGTATCAAAATATAGATGGATTTTTATGTTATTTGATAATTCGGTTAATGCCCAAAACATGACTAAAAACGTAAATTTCAACATATTTCTATTTTTTTTCATAATTATTTTAACCACTTAAATGCATTCTTGCACAACGCGCGAGGTTACGCCTAGTAAAGATATATAATGTCTTTTGTATCATTTTCTTCAAATGTGATATATCGTAGTGTGTAAGAGATGTGCCAGATGCAATGAGTAAAGAGAAAATTTGTGATATAACCAAAAAGAAAGGTTGTTTGAAGAAAATGACCAAGGAAAAATGAATTTTGAAAAATGAACAAAGGATCCGCAGAGCACCTTCTGCGGATCTATTAAGCCATCTGCGGATCCGTTACACCTCTGCGAAATCGCTGTTTTTTTTATTTTTTTTCGTTTTTTTTTTTTATTTTTTTTTCGTTCATTTTCGTTTATTAATATATTTTTTAAAATACACTAATACCTTATGTGATTATATAAATAATTTGACAAAAAAATGTTAAAAATAATGAACTTATGTTCGATATCAGTCCACATAACTGTTTGGGAATACACAGAACCGTTATCAGTGGATCAGTGTACACCTCTGCGGATCAGTGTACACCTCTACAGATCAATGTACACCCTCTGCGGAACCATTAAATGCTCTGCGCATCCTCTACAGCTCTGCGGAATTGCTGTTTTTTTATTTTTCTTTTCGTTTTTTCGTTTTTTTTTCTTTCATTTTCGTTTATTGATATTAATTTTTTTAATACACTAATACCTTATGTTATTATGTAAATAATTTGACAAAAAAAGGTTAAAAATAATAAACTTATGTTTGATATCAGTCCACAGAACTCTTTGGGAATCCACCATCAGCGGATCCATTAAAGCTTGTGCGAATCTACCTACAGCTCTGTGGAATGTTGGTTTTTTAATTTTTTTAATATTTTTTTTGTTTTTTTTGCGTTCATTTTTGTTTATTAATATATATTTTTTTAAATACACTTATACTTTATATGATTATTACGTAAAAATTTTGACAAAAAAAAAGGTTAAAAATAATGAAATGTTTTATGTAATACGTTTGCTGCTAATGTATGTTTTTCATGTATTTTTACTGTTTTGTATTTTATGTTCTATGGAAAAAAGTAAAAGTTAACTCAACTGGTTTTGTAAATACAAACGAAATACATATAAATAACGTAATACAATAATCAGTGCACACATTTGCGGATCAGTGCACACCTTTAAGGATCGGTGTACACCTCTGCGGGTTGTATGTTTATGTTTTTTAAGGTATATTTTCTAACCTATACAAAACATGGAATATTTGTATAATTTTAATTAGGTTATTTATATATGTACCGGTTTGTATTACGTTATTTATATGTATTTTGTTTGTATTATTGTATTTAAAAGAAAAATTAATATAAATAAACTAAAATTAATGCAAAAAAAAAAAAAAAGGAAAAAAAACCTTTTTTTTTGTCAATTTTTTTACATAATAATAACATAATGTATTAGTGTATTTAAAAAAAATAATATTAATAAACTAAAATTAACGCAAAAAAAAATGAAAAAATTAAAAAAAAAAACTACATTCCGCAGAGGTGTAGTAAATCCACAGAGGACTTAATAGATCCGAAGAGGGTGCTCTGCGGATCCTTTGATCAAAAATTAAAAAAATTAAAAAAAAAAAACTACATTCTGCAGAGGTGTAGCAGATCCGCAGAGCGTTTTGTCATTTCTGAAATGTGTTTTTTCCTTGGTTATTTTCTTCAAACCAACTATTGTTTTTAGTTATTTTATGAATTTTCTCATGACTAAATGGTGACTAATAATGACTTTTGTCTTTATTTTATTTATGGGAAAACTGCAATAAAGCCTCTACATATTGACCTCATAATCGATTTAGTATATATATATATATATATATATATATATATATATATATATATATATATATATATATATATATATATATATATATATATATATATTCGATTAAGTCCCAAAAACCGGTAATCGTATTCAATTTAACCCCTTGACCCGGTCAACAGGTCATCCAATTTTCGAAAATTACATTTTTGGCCTAGATTTCAAAATTTATTACAAATTTGGTCCAAAATTTACACTTTTGGCCCAGATTTTAATTTTTTTTTACAAATTTGGTTGAAAATATACCCTTTTGGCCCAAATTTTAGAATTTTGTTATGAATTCATCCGAGTATTAGTTATTTTTACAACTTTTTTTTTCTTAAAAAAAATGTACTCGTCTTTATCTTCTATTATTTTTGAAGTGTACTATGAATTTAGGTAGAAAATATAATAATTTACATTAAAACAACAGTTACATAGTGCTAACAATAGGTCATTTATGTTGTGGCATTGTTATCACACAAATAAACATTATTTTCACACAATAAAACGATTTAAATTAGTGAAAAACAACTTTAAGTATCATTTTTTTTGAAATATACTATTAAGTTTAAGAGCCTAAAAAGACTAATAAGCACATTGTTGTTGATAATAAGCCATTTATATCAATGTAGCAGTATAACAATGTAATTTCATCACTATAACACACAAAAAACATTGTTTTTACAGAAAAAAAAAACATACTTAATATCTTATGTTATTGGAAATGTTCTAGAAACCGTCAAAATGTACCATGTCAACAATACATAAAACTCTGTCATTTGTAAACATAGCGACACTATTGATAAACTATGAAACGTTTATAAATATGACCAAATTTTATTTATTGAGCTATTAACTAAGATAACATACTTTAAAAAGTCTACCTAATGATGTTGTGCTTTAATATCTTCGTTGTACTTTAAAAAAAATTGTATTTAGTTTATGGTTAGGTAGGTTGTTCAAAATACAATGCTATAATAAAAATCAATGAAATTAAGCACACAATTATTTCTTGCATTTAACTTTTTCTTTATTTATCATATGTTTTTATGCTGAACATAGAACAAAAAATATATATTGTTTAACATATTAAACAAGTTAAAAAAGAAAATATTAATAAAACTCATTGGTATAAGTTTGAAAGTACTGAACATCTATTTTTAATGTTAAATATAACTAAAAAGATTACAATTTTTTTTATTAATTACTATGCTTCCAAACCCAAAACATTCGAATTCATAAAGAAAAAACATTCAAATTTTTTTGAAGAAAAAAAGTTGTAAAAATAATTAAATTTAGGATGAATTCATAACAAAATTCTAAAATCTGGGACAAAAGGGTATATTGTAGACCAAATTTGTGAAAAAAAATTAAAATCTAGGCTAAAAGTGTAAATTTTGAACCAAATTTGTAATAAATTTTGAAATATGGGATAAAAATGTAATTTTTGAAAGTTGGATGACCTGTTGACCGGGTCAAGGAGTTAAATTGAATACGATTATCGGTTTTTGGCACATACTTGAATAAAAAAATATATATATAAAAACTAAATCGATTATGAAATCAATAGGTAGGAATTTTTATTGAAGTTTTTTTATTTATTTGTTTGAAAATGAACTACTTCTGTTCTTGATTTCGCCCAATACCAATGAATAAATGACCTAATTTTCCCGCCAAACAGAACTTTGATCAATCGCTTGTAAAAGACTAAAAGATGCTTAAGTATCTCTGTCAAACCCTAAAATCATCACCCAGAAACCCCAAATCAATGATTCCAATTTCTCATTTCCAAAACCGCAAGAAAACCCAAATCATCATTCCGGCCATAGATTTCATATTGGATGAATGTGCAGACCTCCCGTCATCAAACCCCATTAAAAAACCAACACAAGATACACCGAAAACCGCAGAACCAGTTGACACTGAAACCTCGAGTATTGTGATTTCACATCACTGGCCGGAATGGGTTGGGTTGATGGAGAAGTTGATGAAAAACGGATACTTCGATGTCGTCGTGAATCCATTTCGAAGTGGAGAGTTGATCCATGGGAAGGGTTGTAATCAAATTCGAACCGCTTGCCTTAACTTTGCTCGTGATCGGCCTGATCTCATGAGGTATATAACATTGTTCTTCATTTGTTTTTAATTTACGATGCTTCTGAGCTGAAGCACACCACCTGTTTGACAATAATCCTCTGTGAAACTTCTCCACCTCTTACTTATCCACTTATCACGCCTTTGTGATTCAGTTACTTCACGAAAGGGGACATACACGTGGTTGCCGGAGCTGGCTGCCCCAGCATAGATCGGAAAGTTGTGAACTCTAGCAAACGGCTAAGGGCACACATGGGTATCGACGAAGGAAATGTACGTGAGAATCTTTGTTTATATTTAACAAAATATACAAAAAATAACAAACGATTTAACAGGTTTGCAGCAGTTGCATTTTGAGGGGAAACTGTGAGAGAGCATATGTGAAGCCACGTGAAGATGAAGGTGGTCGGACTGTTGATGTGATGCGTTTTGTACTCACCTATGGCCTTCATCATCTCTATGATTCACCAGATAATGAACCTTTTATGAACAAAAGGTTCGAGGAAGCAATCAGAAGTTTAATCAGAGATATGGTGAAGTATAGCAAGGAAAAACTTGATTTTGATCCTTCAAAACGTGTTCACAGAAATACAAAAAATAGTTGTCAACTCCATGAAAGACTTGAAACATCAGGAGACAATCCGGATCAGGTTGAGCTGAAAAGGGGAGATTGGCTATGTAAAAGGTATACCAACTTTTGTAATTCTTAGTATTTGATTTAGAGGTAAATCTTGATTTCTAATTTTTGTTTTTAAGCTGATGTTATTCGACAAACAGATGCAAATTTCTAAATTTTGCCAAGAACACAAGATGTTTGCATTGCCATACAAACCCACCAAAGAGACAACTCAATCCAGGGGAATGGGAGTGCGACTCGTGAGTTCTTCCCTAAATGATCACATAGATCTTTATGCCAACAAAGATGATAAATATTTCCCCCATGTTTAAAACAAACTTTTGGTTCTCACATTCGTTTTGCAGATGCAACTACATAAACTTCAGGAGAAACACGGCATGCTTGAAATGTGATCATAAACGCCCAAAAGCATTCAGATAGTTGGATTTGGATCGATCAAAAGATGAAAGTAATTTTTCATATCACAACAAGTATACATAAATGTATCACTGTGTTTTGTTCTATTGTATACAATATGTAAATAATGATATACGAATGCAACAATCCTTATTTTACTATTAAATCAGCCTGTTTTGTTATCGATTCTGTAGAAATTGGTCAACGTCTTTCCGTCAAGCTCCTTCCTGAAAAATCTTCCGATGTAATCTGCATATGTAAAGTCCTTGTAAACCGCCGGTTTCTCGGCTGATATCACCTCCGGGAACGGCCCATACGTGCCCTCTCGGTTGCTTGGATTGAAAAACACGGCAAGAGAGACACGTGCACCTTCAACAGGGTTTGCCAATACTCGATGTTCCACGCTTTTGTATTCATCATTAGACATCATCTATGACATGAATTAATACAATTTTTTTTTTTTTTTATATACGATTCCGATCATGTGTTTCGATTAATTTATTTATAAAACAAACGTACCTGAAGCAGATCGCCGATGTTGATAACAACGGCGCCGGGAACTGCCTCGACGTCAGCCCAATCGTCACCACACTTGACCTGCAACAACCCACCGACCTCGTTCTGCACCAGGACGGTTAGTGCGCCGGGATCGGTGTGGGCGGTGAGCCCCACCGTGAGATCTGGCTGTGGGCACCGGGGATAATAATGGGACGCATTTACCCTTGCTTCCAAAAATGATAATTCCTTTAACCTGTCGCTCTTTACTCCCAATCCTTGGCATAAAATCGACATCAATTCTTCTGCTAACCCCACCGCCGCCTTGTCCCACTCTTTCAGTGCCTCCCTACACATGTCCGGCACCGCATCCCAATCCGGTTCTACGGGCGCCATCCTCACCTGAATAATCATAAGCGTTATAGAAATAGAATCAAGTTGATTACTGTAAGAATCGCTTGGATCTAACCTGAAGCGTGTCTCTCCAGCTCGCAGCTTTTGACTGGTACAAGTCAAAATTTGTAGAATAAGCTGCTCCTTTCCCTGCTTCTCTGTGATAGAATTGCATCTTATACTCCGTCGGTTGCTCAAAGAAACTCTTCAGACCATTAAGAACAGAATCGATTAGTGTTGTTGGAATGCTATGATTGACGATCTGGAAAAACCCTAGTGTGGAAGCTGATCGTCGAATTTCTTCAACAACGGTTGATCTTTCTGCAGATAAGTCGATGACAGGCACGGTTAATTTCGGTCGGTTTTTAGGTTTTGGACCAGGGAGATTCTCCGGTGGTTGGTGGAAGAAGCTGGGGATGGTGGTGACGCCGGAATCTACTAATCCCTTTACGCCGATTTTTGATTCGTCGAATTTTTTCACTTCTGATAGACGATCGTAGCCGTGTTCACTAGTAACTGGCGCCATGGATGCGATGATATGGAAGGGTGGTGATTCGACGGAGATGGCGATGGACTTTGTGGTATTAAGGTTGAAGACGCTACTGGTATGATGAAGTTTGGTTTTACAAGCGTATGTATTGACAATTTGGCATTTTGTAGTTTGATAGGAAAAAGATTTTTCCTTTATCCAAATTATGGTGGTCAAGATTACCTTTTATTTTAAAATCTTATGATACTACAAGGATAAGTGGAATGGAGTAGGAAGGGAACCGAACCCCCAAAACATAATATCGGAGGCGTGGTTTGATGAAAAACTTTTTTTTTTTGGGTTTTACTAACCACAAAATTGCAAAAATAGTCCATATATATATATATATATATATATATATATATATATATATATATATATATATATATATATATATATATATATATATATATATATAGAGGTGGGTTCAATTGAAAAAATAAAAAAAGTTGAGAATGATTGCAAAAATAGTCCATATATATATATATATATATATATATATATATATATATATATATATATATATATATATATATATATATATATATATATATAGGTGGGTTCAATTGAAAAAATAAAAAAAGTTGAGAATGTGGAATCATTCTCAACCACTCATTTAATCTAAACATAAAGAACACGGTGGCAAACTTGTAAATATCGTAATAACCTTCAATCTTAAATACGTAACTATAGAGAATTCGATAACTATTCGTTCATCATCAAAAAAAATTCTCCAACCTTCAATAATCATCCAGATTTCTTCAACTAAACCGGAATTTCTTCGCTGTTCATGAAATTGGAATCCGAGTTCTGGACTCGCAGTCACAGTCGACATTGAGGGACTTAGAATCGGTAATTACAGGTTCTCAATCGGATTTTCGGAAATCAAAATCAAATTGAGAAATCGACCAGAGATAGGATGTCGCATCTGAAGTCGAAATCGGAAGTATATGATGATTTGGAACTGATAACTTGATGTTTTTAACATTTTTAATATAGTTAACTTGTTTGCACTCCAACTGTTTGATGCAATGCATAAACTAAATTATCACGTTATATTCACATATGCATATGTTTTCTCACCTGAATCAGTATATGATTATTAAAAACACAAAACAAATATGCAAGTATGTATGTTATTTATATGTGAATAACATATAAAAATTATATATATTTGTCAAAATACTTTCAATATTCATAAGTAAATATACCTTGTAATATTCATATGTGAATATACTGTGTAATATTCATAAGTGAATATATCATATAATATTCACAAGTGAGTATACTCTGTAATATTCACATGTGATATACCATGTAATACTATGTAATATTCATATATGAAATATAATTTAATACTATTAAGTGAATATACCATCTAATATTCACAAGTGAATATACCATCTAATATTCACAAGTGAATATACTATGTTAATATTCACAAGTGAATTCATCGTCCGATATTAAAATATGAATATACTATGTTTATTATATGCTATATTCATATATGAATGATACTTCAATTATAAAAAAAAAAAAAAAAAAAAAAAAAAAATCATACTTTTTATTCATAAGTGAATAACGAATGTATTGTAATAAAAGCTAATGCATTGTTATTCATTTATGAATAACGATAGCTGAAAATATAAAAAAAATTAATTTTTTATTTTATGTTAAAACTATATCAATATGGATGTCTATTTGTAGAGAATAAAAAATCATGAATTTTGGTATATTTAAAATCATTTTTTGATAAAAACAGCTTATAAAAATTTAAAAAAAAAAACGAAAAAACTACGTTTTTGTATATATTAAGGTAATGATTAGCATAGTTTAAGGAAATATGTTATGTTGGAAAACATATGTGCATTCGTTTCCCATTTCCGCCGGTACGTTGAGGTTTTTGCGGTAAAAATAAATGATTAGCTGAGAATGATTCCCCCATTCTCAATGTTTTTTTTCTCAATTGAACCCTATATATATATATATATATATATATATATATTTCGAGGTTTAGTTCAAATTTCGATTTTTTTGGTTTTGTGGTCTTTTTGAAGTAGTTTCATTGCGAATTTGATTCCTTAGTAAACTTAAATAACTTTAATACCATTGGGTATTTATTTTCTACTTTTAAATTTATTTTTTTAAAGTTTAATAATTATTTATTCATTTTAATAATTCAAAAATATGAGTGCTCACCTCTCTCTCTCTCTCTCTCTCTCTCTCGTTTTAATACCAAGAAGATACATCATCTTCTTCAAAACCCACCATTAGCTACTCACCATAGTTCTTTTTTCCAGCTATGTTCCTCCTTCGAGCTACCATAAATCAGCGTCCACCTTCATCATTCTCATAGTCGATACCATCTGACAACCTCTATTCTGATAATCTTTTTGTCAAAATCGAAACCCTATCACCATCAAATAAGCTTTGGTGTGTTCAACGATGGTGTCGTTGCCTTTTTCCTACTGGAGCAAACTAAATAAGTTGTGTTTCCCCATCTTTCATTCTCGACAAAATCGACATCCAAGAAACGAGCTGAGAAGGTCCAAAACTGAATCAAGCCCTGAATCTCTTCAATAAACCCCAAAACTGAAAGTTGGTAGAGGTTTCCATAGCAGAAGGTGGTGACGGTGGTTGTTGGGGTTGGTTTAGCGGAGGAGGTGGGTTATAGTGGTCAATTGTAAGGGATAAGGGTGAGACGAGGGAGATGAAGCGGGGTGGAGTAGGGGGGGGGAGGGGGTGACGAATTCGAGATTCTTTTGTGGATTGATTTCTAATTTGATCAATTGTTTATTTTGCCACTGATTTTGTGTAGCCATCATCTCCCATATCTATCCATAGGTTTAATCTTCTCCCCCTTTGTTTTCATCCATGAAAACATTCCCATTAATTACTAGATTTGTTGGTATGGGTTCCTATATGATTTGTTGGTGTTAGTTTAGACATGATTTTATCTTCTAATTTGGTCAATTGCGGGATGTGTTGGGTTGGGTTCATATATGAATTGTTTTTCCATAAATCACTGAATCAATAGATGTGTGTGTTGAAAAAGGTTCGGTCGTGATTTTGTTTTCTCCATCACAATTACCGAAGGTCTTGGTAGCTTTTGAGTGAACTGAGAGCAAAGATTTTTTATTAAATCGATTGTAACATCCAAAATCCAAGTATTTCATTTTAAGCCCTTGATGAATTTTAAGTTGCAAAGTTGGACCCTTTGTACGTTGGGCGTACATGTATGTACGCTTAGCGTACACAAATGGACGCATCGGGTAGCTGAGGTTCGTACGCCCCGCGTACAAGGCCAGAGGCTAAAACCCTAATTCTCAAACTTGAGCACTATTTAAGCTCATTTATGACCTTGGACACTCTTCCTTAGCAACCTCCATTTCTTTCAAACGTCCCTAAAACCCTAGTTCCATTAAAAGTGATTCTTGAGCTTAAAGGTGCCTAAAGTAACCTCTTTTTAGTGTGTTAGCAAGGAGAAGGAAATGGTGAGCAAGTCTTGAACGTGGGAGATCTTGTAGATCCTGCATCTAGATTATCCTGGAGAGCTTTTAGAGTGTGAGATTTTCGGACCCGTAGCCGAGCAGTATATTTTTATCAGTAGTCTGAGGTGAGTCTTCTCACTATAACTTCTGGTCTAAGGCACCAAGGCTAGCCCAATATCCATTTATGTAATATGCTAGTTGTTATATGTTACATGTTGTGATTGGGTTGAAATATATCCAAGGACGGGGCTCGGTATGACATAACGGGTTGAAATATACCCCAGGGCAGGGCCCATAATGATATGAGTGGGTTGAAATATACCCTAGGGTGGGGCCCATACTTTTTTTGGGTTAGGATGAACCCCATGGATGGACCCATTTGTATGATTGGTATGTGTTACTTTGGGAAAACTCACTAAGCATTAGTTTAAAGTTTGTATTGTGATTTCAGGTGTGTCCGGTTCCAAAAGGAAGGGCCCGACTTGATGGCTTAGCATTCACTCTCCACTACTTTCCGCATTCACTGATATTAACACTCTAATATTTTTGTCTGATGAGGATTATGTATTGGAGTTTTGGTATCAAACTTATAGATGTAAACCTTGATTTAAAAATGAAAAATTTTATTTGGATTTTTTGGGTATTACAAGTTGGTATCAGAGCCTTAGTTTGAGGGATTCAGGCACACTCTCGGGTGTGTCAGAACTTAAATTGAGGAAATGGTAAATCTTTTCAAAAGAAACAAAAGTCAAGTTTTTTTGAAAACGGTTTTCTTAAGTAAAAAGAGAGAGTGTAATGCGCGAAATCAGTCGAGTTCAAGTAAGTGTTTCCTAAAATTTAACCATGCTATGAATATATTTTTTGGAATCGATGTCAACTCTGTTATTTGCTAGGAGTATGCTTTCTAAGTTGTATATGTTTAGGATTGCATAGCGCTAGAATGATAGATTCTACCTCATTTCTTGTTCCTTGTTTGGTTGTGATCTTAGGGTAGAAGCTTTATTTCACAGTCTATGTGATTCTATTTATGTACAACTTGCATGCATAGGGCAACCTACGGTATTGATTGAGGTTTCTTGTTCTGTGTGGATTGAGAAATCCTAGAAGAGTCTAGGATTTGCGTATGTGTTGTGTTTTGTAGATTGTGTTTTATCTATGGTTGGGTGAATTAGAGGTATCAGGTATGGCCTTGAGGAAGGTATAGGTAGGCGTGGAAGGTAGTATTGGGTTTGTACTACTGAAAGCACATTACCTATACCCGAGACACGGACAGACCTGGAAGCTCTAGGGAGTCTGGTGGGGAGGAATCCCTTCGAATCTCCTTATCAATTGTTTTCTATGTTGTATTTTCAATTGAGGATGGTGATGGCTACTCGAGGAGGTTCAGGTTCTGGATCAGGTTCAGGCTCTGGTGCAAAGCCGATTGATGAGAGCCTGCACTAGCTTATTGCAACTGAGGTTACTCGCGATATCCTTGACGCTACCCCAATGATTTTCAGTATCGTTAAAGAGTGGATCATGAAGATTATGGAGGAGTGGATCAGGTCTTTTCGAGCCGAGATCGTTGCGGGTCAGATTGGGACTCAAACTCCCTTATTTTGGGAGTTCAAGGCATGTGGTGCGCCTGAGTTCTTTGTGGTTAAGGACCCTCGCTAGTCGCCACTGGATCGTTGACATGGAGCATGCTCAGCGCACGAGCTTTTGCCCTGATGCGAAAAAGGAGGGATTCGCGTCCTATATGCTGAGGGATCGAGCGCGAGAGTGGTGGGAGGAGGTTACCCCCAAACTGATGTCCAGAGCGAGAGGACGATCCAGAAACTA